AAAAACCCAAACAGGGGAAGCCACATTACAGCCGAAATCCTGTCCTAGTCCGAGGAATTGGCAGGATCGGCCATGTATTCTAGAAAGGCCATGTACAAGAAGAGGTATTCAGCTGCTAAATCCAAGGTTGAAAGGAAGGAGAAGTTTCTTGCTACTGTCACAAAACCAGTTGGTGGTGACAAGAATGGTGGTACTTGAGTGGTTAAACTGCACAAAATTCCCAGGTATTACCCAACTGAAGAAGTGCCTAAGAAACTGTTGAGCCACGGCAAAAAACCCTTCAGTCAGCATGTCAGAAGACTGCGGTCCACCATCACTCCCGGGACCATTCTGATCATCCTCCCTGGGCACCATCAAGTCAAGAGTGGTTTTCCTGAAGCAGCTGGCCAGTGGTTTGCTCCTTGTGACTGGACCTCTGTCCCTCAATCGAGTTCCTCTGCATAGAACACACCAGAAATTTGTCATTGCCAGCTCCACCAAAATTGATATCAGTGGTGTGAAGATCCCCAAACATCTCACAGATGCTTACTTCAAGAAGAAGCAGCTGTGGAAGCCCAGGTACCAAGAAGGTGAGATCTTTGACACTGAGAAAGAGAAATACGAGGTTACAGAGCAGCACAAAGTGGATCAAAAAGCTGTGGTCTCACAAATTATGCCAAAAATCAAAGCCTTTCCCTGGCTCCAAGGTTACTTGTGTGCTGTGTTTGCTCTCACAAATGGAATGTATCCTCATGAATTAGCATTCTAGATTTCTTGCAAAGAAAGAACCTCATTAAATAATTGATAAATTAAAAAAAAAAGAAGAAGATGGAAGTAATACATAGAGTCACTATACCAAAAGAATTAATTGGTTAATGTTCAACCGTTTCAAGAGGTAGAAGATAATCAAGAAGCTGGTATTGAAGGAAGAAGTCCAAGCTGCACTAAAGGCATTGGCAAAGAACAAGGCTCCAGGAATTGACTGACTACAAATTGAAATGTTTCAACAAACTGATGCAATGCTGGAGGTGCTCTCTTGTTTATGCCAAGAAATTTGGAAGACAGTTACCTGGCCAATTGGGAGAGATCCATATATGTGTCCATTCTAACAGAATGTGGAGTACAGTTTTGCTTAGAATAATTAAAAATGTTGTAGCAGTACATTGACAGGGAGCTGCCAGAAAATCAAGCTGGACTCAGAAGAGGATGTGGAACCAGAGATATCATTACTGCCATCAGACGGATCTTGGCTAAAAGCAGAGAACACCAGAAAGATGTTTATTTGTGCTTCATTGATTATGCAAAAACATTCAACTATGTGGATCCTAATAAACTATGGATAACATTGTAGCAACTAAAATATTGTAGTTGAAATAGAAGTCAGGGATACATTAAACTTTAATTCTTGAGACTTTAAATAATTAAAGGTTTTTTAGTCTCTTAAAACCCATTTCAAGGACAGAATAGAAATTCCAGAATACGCATAAGGAACCTGCACGTAGACAAAGAGGCAGGTGTTTGAGCAAGAACTAGAAGACACTGAGTGATTTAAAATCAGGGAAGGTGTGCAATCAGGATCAGGGTTGTATTCTTTCACCATACTTATTCAATCTCTATGCTGAGCAAATAATCCAAGAAATTGGATAATATGAAGAAGAATGTGGCATCTGGATTGGAGGAAGGCTCATTATATGCAAATGTAACAAAGCTGGCAGCAAAGAAAACTTGAAATACTGAAGATCAAAGACTATATATAGCCTTTAGTGTGGATTGTGCCTCAGTGTAAAGAAAACAAAAATCCTTACAACTGAAGCAATAACTATCATCATGATAAAATGGAAAAATGATTGAAGTTGTCAAAGACTTCTTTTTGTTTGGCTCCACAAACAATGCTCACAGAAACAGCTATCAAGAAATTAAAGGACATAGTGCATTAGGAAAATCTTTTGTAGAAGACCTCTATTGAAATACTAAGGTGTGCGTAACCCAAACCATGGTATTTTCAATTGCCTTATATATTTTTGGGAAATGCAGTGGCTCTTAAGAATATGTACTGTACTGAGACCACAAGGTTAAATGGTTCAAGCCCACCAGCCGTTCTGGGGGAGAAAGATGAGGTTTTCTCTTCCTACAAATATTTACAGTCTTTGAAACCCTACAAAGGATCACTATAGTTGGAACTTAACAACAACATATGTATGTGAAAGTTGGACAGTGAATTAGGAAGGCTGTTGTAGAATTAATGCCTTTGAAATATGGTGTTGGCAAAGAATATTGGAAGTACCATGGACTTCCAGAAGAAAACCCAAATTTATCTTAGCAGAAGTACAGTATGAATACTCCTTAGAAGCAAGGATGACAAGACTTCCTCTCTCATACTTTGGTCATTGTCTTAGGCCAGGTTTTCTAGAGAAACAAAACCAGTGAAACGTATATATATAAAGAGAAGTTTATTATCTTACAGTTGTAGAGTCCCAGGTCCCCAGAGGAAGAGCAAGAGTCCCTTCTTTGTGTCCATTATATTGGGAGTAGGCCACACCTTCAAGGACACATCCTTTCAATTGATTGGCAACTCATAGCCACTCATCACAGTTAATAGGTTCCATCATTGTGGGAATGAGCACATCCCAATTGCCAAACTTTTAGAAATCCTAGCCTAGTTGAGTAGACACAGAACCCTAACAATTTCAGACATGGTGGCAGGAAGGACCAGTCCCTAGAGAAGAACATCATGCTTGGTAAAGTGGAGGATCAACGACAAAGAGGAAGATGTCAGTGAGATGGATTGGCACAGTGGCAGCAGCAATGGGCTCAAACATAACAATTGTGAGGATGATGCAGGACCAGGTAATACTTCATTCTGCTGTGCCTAGGGTTGCTTGATAGCACCTAACGGTTACGAATCCGGCTGCGAACTGCAAGGTCAGCAGTTCGAAATACCAGCTGTTCCATGGGAGAAAGATGAGGCTTTCTGCTCCGGTAAAGATTTACAGCCTCAGAAACCCTGTACAGGGTTGCTATGAGCCGGAACTGACTCCACGGCACATAACAACAGCAAATAACAATAGTGGCAAAGCAAGGAGTCATGATGATACAGTGGGCTAATTAATCATTGGCTTCCTAAGCAAGGTAGGTGGTTTGAACCCATCAACTGCTTCCCTGGAGAAATATAAGGCATTCCGTTTCGGAGAAGATTTACAGCCCTGTTGAGCAGTTCTCCTATGCCCTATAGGGTTGCTATGAGTCTGAACTGACTGTCAGCAGTAGGCTTGTGGCAAAGCAGGTCTAGAAATATACAACAGTTTCAAGCAGCTTCATTAGAAGTAACTAATGAAGTTACTGCTTGCAGCAGTGCCTTTTCACTTTTTTGAAAGGGATTACCAGTAACTGGAGCCCTGGCTTGATGCTAGGGGTTAATACTGAGGACTGCAGAGTCGGTTTGAACCACAAGCTTGGCGGTTCAAGCTCACCAGCTGCTCCTATATAGGGTCGCTATGGCATTTAACAACAACCAGTAACCAGTTGTCATAAAATCAACTCCAAGTCATGATGACCCCATGTATGTCAGCGTAGAACTGTGCTCTGTATAGGACTTTCAATGGTTATTTTTTCAGAAGTAGATGACCTTTCTTCCAAGGAGCCTCTGGGTGGACTCAGACTTCTAACCTTTTCAGTTGTGACACCTAGTGGAGCAGTCTATCACTTCCCCATCTAGTGTTGAGTCTAAAGTTGCTATAGGTCAGTCAGGTTGGCAATTGGGAAGGAAAACTAGATGTGGACAAGAACAAAGACAAACTTGAACTTGTAAGGACAAACGGGGGCCCACAAAGAAAACGGCAACCACAAGTACAAAGTAGAACCTGCTTCCTTCATTGACTCCATCCTTGATGCTCTTCATTGTGGCCAAGGACTGGAAGCCGAAGGAGCTGCAGGACCAGGTGCTGCCTGCCCCGTGTCAGTAAGATAAGCTAGTAAACAAGATGTGTGAGCTGTCCTATTATTGCTTAGTGCCCAGGACAACCTTCAGAGTGCAACAAACATGTCTCCTGCTTTTCTTCCACCTTCCTGGGCTGAGCCATTTCCTTGAGATAGTTCTCTCTCTATATGTACTTAGATATATATCCATAGAGGGGTGTACACATAAACGCTTCACTGGTTTTGTTTCTCTACAAGACCAACCTAAGATAGTGGGAGCCCGGTCCTGGGTCCCTGTCCCCGAAAAGCACACAGACTAGGAGAAGGCATATGCCACAAAATAAAAAGACAAAATTCTGTGATAAGGCCAGCATAAGTCCCAAAAGAAAAGAATGAACTAACTCTTGCCCACCGGTCCTCAAATCCCTTTTTTGTTTTTTTTCTGTTCATTGAAATCAACCACAGTTTTCCCGGGCCGCTTCAGGAGCTGCTCCGCAAATGGGGGAAGAGGGAACTGAATCACACAAGGATGTTAGCACCGAGGAGGAGGTTGAACACGGCGGGGCCCAGCGGGCGGGCGGAGGACACCCAGAGCCCCGCCCCAAGCCCCTCGGGGAGGCCGGCAGGCCCGGCGGGGGGAGGTGGGGAAGACGCGGGGCCGCGCTCCCGCCCTG